GCGATGGCTATGACGATGACGATGACACACACATGCACATTCAAATCCACTTCCACGTCCACATCCACATCGCAGTCTTGATGGCAGTAGCTTGTCGTTTCGGTTTTGATGCCTCGCTGCGGTTACGTGAGTGCAAAAAAATAATTGCAATTGCCCCGAACAGTTTTCAGTTTTCAGTTTTCGATTTCAACATTTGGTCGGCTCTGGCTGCGCCGCCCATTATGGGGCAACTGTATTGTGTTTCATCTGACACCTGCGATCGTGTGTCATACTCGTCGCTTAAATAATCTATGTACTCGGACATACATACATGCATTAACTGAGTTACTTGTCAATTCACAATGCATTCATGAAGCGATACATTAAGATAGAGACAGAGTGTATAAGCAATCAAGAGACCCCATTAACTTTAAACGCGAATCGAGTGATCCGATTGTGAAAAGAGCATTTGGTTCATGATGTAATGTTAATGCTCGTAATTTCCTGAGAAATATGTTACCCCAGCAGCCGTTAGAATAGCAATAGCGTTTAACAATCGTTTAAACATAGGAAAGAAATATCAGAACAGCATTTGAATAATCAAGTTTCTATCTCAATATTTCTGCAATTGGAGGAATGGAAGAAATGGATTAGAGAAAATATCTTCTTTTTAAACATTCCGTGAAACATCGGCCGAAACGATAGGAGGCCTAATACCGATGTTCGTCTATTTGTTTCAATTACTACTTGCACCATAATTTTTGAGATGCTGCGTCGAAACTTAGCACTGATGCTTCAGTTTAACAAAGATAATATGTCGAGGACAAGCATGCCAGAGAGCTAACGTGGCTTGTTTTTGCATACGAAACGGGTTCTTGAGTAGTCATTAAAATTATGTTTGAAGTGAAAAATACACAAAAAGGCAAAATAAAATTGAATACTTGAGCTGTGCAAAAGAAATATCACATAAAGAGTGAATTTCGCACTGACAAAGCCTGAGTTTATGCCCAGCTTTTATATAACGAATATATATGTTTATACTGTATTCTCAATGCCCGATTAACTATTTCAATAACTAGCTAGCGCCGATTCTAAACGGCACAAAACAAAGAAGAAGAAAGAACACTTCCAAATAACTAAACATGACATTAAGAATGCGTTTAGCCCATCTCTAAATATTTGCAAAAGATTGCACAAATTTCTTTTCGAAGCACATAAGACGCGGGTATATACTTTTGCAACTTATCCTATACCTATATTTACTCAATTATAGATCAATATAAAGACGAATTATTCTGTAATTTTTAACTTTCACTCAATAAAATAAATTAAATCATTCAATAAAAAATGTATACTTAATAAAAAACATGAAAATCGAATAAAAATTGAATAAACAAATCTAATTCTACAAATTGATAAATATTTCACGATCTAAAATGAATTACTTCATATCACTAACACCACAAATTAGTATTTATTTATTAGACTATGTATTTAAATATAATCATAAAATGCTAAAATCTCTTCTCATAATTAATAAATTTAAAGGAAATCAATGTAATACAACTAATAAATATTCTCGAATTTTTCCCCCTCTAAATGAAGACCTCAAGATCACAAATTTGGAAAACCATAAATAAAAAATTTTCGAGCACCAAAAAAAGAGGAATTCTTTGAGGGAAAAAAAGCGTTATAAGAACATTCTTTTGGCATACGCGCTCAATAAATTTTGTAATTCAGCACAAATTACATATATGTATAATATATGTATAGATGTTTATAATAATATATACTTATATGTATATACTAAAGAAATATAAGTACACACGTACTAATCTACACCAAAACAAGAAAGGAATGCTAAAGTCGAGCAGACACAACTCTTAAATACCCTGACCACCCCACAAAAAAGTAATTAAATTAATTAAATTAAATTAATTAATTAATTAAATGTAATTAATTAATTTAATTAATAATTTAATTTAATTTAATTTAATTTAATTTAATTAATTAATTAAATTAATTTAATGAATTAACTAAATTAAATATAAAATATTCCATGCATGCATACATACATTTACATTTACATCAGAATCGTGCCTTATGCGTGTTTGTGTACTTGTACATATGTATGTATGTGTGCATTGGGCCTGGTTATATGGCTATAACTTTCTTTCCGATCATTCTATCATAATGAAACTTGGTATACGGATATATAATCATAAACCTAATGTGACTACCAAATTTGAAAATACCAAGAATTACGGGAGTTATAGAAAATCGTTAATAGGGGGGGAGTGGGGGGGGGGGGGGTGGATCAGAAAAAATGAACAAACTCGTCCTTTCTCGGTCTCAGGAGAATCTGTATACCAAGTTTGGTTATTCTAGCTCTTATACTTTCGGAGATCCTTGCGTTCATACAGACAGACAGACGGACAGACAGACGGACAGACGGACATGGCTATATCGACTCGGCTTGTCATGCTGATCAAGAATATATATACTTTGTGGGGTCTACCAAGCCTCCTTCTGTGTGTTCCATGTGCACTCGCACAAAACTAATATACCCTTGTACCCTTTGGGTACAGGGTATAAATACGAGGTTTAAAAAAAATACACCTGCTTACAAAGTTTTGAGATATTTAAAGTCTGAGGGCGCTGCGTTTTTCATTGTTAAATCACTAGCCGATTTGGAATTTGGTAGCACAAACAGTGGCAAAAGGCAGCCAGCCATCAAAGTCATTGCTAAATAAATGTATATCGCGCAAATCGCATTGCAAATTGGCATACATATCGAATGGAAGAGAAAAAGGGTAGGAATCTTCGTGGCTGACGGCAAGCGTTCGTGGACATGGTAGTACTACAACAAACAAAAGTACTACAACACACACTATATGTGGTATGTATGTACATATGTATGTGCACATGGCAATGGTGCCTAACTTGCAGTTTGCTTCTCAAACTTTTTTCTTTACGCTTCGTATGTAGATATGTATGTCGCTTTTAATCGAATTGTTTATATACTTTTCAAATTGTTTGTTAATTTTTGCCACTGCTTTTGGAATTTTTTTTATTTTGCCTTTTACTCGGCGTGCTCTTTAAGTTCTCTTTTGCTGTGCGTGCTACGGGAATGCTGTTTCTGCTTCTTTTTTTGATATTATTCCTATTTTTGTTAATGTTATAAATACAATTTTATCTTTTTGCGAAAATCACATGAATAATGCTGATGTCTTTCGGGGAATTCTACACCTTCAAGAAGTGTGGGCGAGTGTGGGGGGTGTGGCGTGAAACTTTTCAAACTTTAAGATGGTCGTGGCAGCAACATCACCAACATCACCAACAACAACAGAGTGAAAATAAAAATTACGAATATAACTACGACGCAATTCATGAACTGTAGTTTACTCACACTCTTCTCTGACACTCGTTCTGCTTCTCTCACGCTCACTTTATCGTTTATTTTCGTTTTCGATTTCGTACGTACATACATACATACAAACACGTAAGCTTGTATGTTTTTTTGGCTTATTGCACTTGGGGGTTGTTTCTGTTTCTGTTTCGTTCCGATTGACGTCTTACGACAATATTGTTCACAGGATATCGTCGACACACATATGTATGTATTATGTATTGCGCGTTATTGTGAAATTCCTATTTGCCACTTTTTACTTATAGATTGTACTTCAACACTAATTCCGTCAGTTAAATAAATTGCAACTTTTTCGACTTGTTTGTTGTTTATTTGTGGTGTTTCGGTAATTATTGTAACTGCGCAGCATTGACGCCTTCAACCAGCCAACAGCCTTAGGGCCCTAACTCTGATGGGTTGCGATCGCTTTAAGGTGCCGCTGCTCAATGCCGCTGCCGTTGCCAGCGAGCCGCATGGAAAGTTCAGTTGCTTGACGTTGCTGCGGCGTAGTCGACGTCGGCTGCGCAGCTATCTATTGCAAAGTTCTGACCGCTGCGGCTGTCGTGACGCCTTCGTCAAGTTTAGCTTTGCTCTCCCACTTTACTTGGTTTCGCGCACTCTCTCTATCTCTCTCTCTCTCTCTCTCTCTGTCAGTCTCTCACTCACACTCGTGCCCGATTGTGTTTCGTCAAGTTCACTCACGCTTCTTCCTGTTCCTGTTCTACCACATTCTACGCAGCCGTTTCTTCCTTTCGTTGGCGTTCGTTTCTATTTCCATTATTGTTGCTTCTCTTACACATTTACACGCCATTTTGAATCGCTTCGTCGTTGGCCTACTGCCCCACACACCGACGTTGCCAATGCCAATGCCAAAGCCGAAGCCATCACGTCTGCATGGGCATAAGTATGGGGTACATACATACATACATAAATAATATGTGATATGTATGCATGCATGCACATACATATATACATGCATGCATGGGCATGGCCTTCAACTGTCCCAATCCCATCTGTCGCGCTGTAGCTGTGGTTGTTGATTCTTCTTCTGCTTCTGCCACCTTTGCTTAGCTTTCACTGTCGACTGCTCTCATTCATCCATTCATGTCTTCTAGAGTTTTTTTCCTACTTGTTCGCGTTCTTTTCTTGTTTTCTGTTTGCAATTTGACAATTGTGTGAGAGTGCGCAGCGCCGCCACGAAGATGTTCTTACTGTAAATAATAACATTTTCTGCCCATACCATGAATGTATGTAAATATGTACACATACATATGTACATGTATAATATGGGAACATAGGAGGCCTATTAATAATGTGCTCAGATATGATATTACTGATTTTAACGTTCATATGCATGTACATACATACATATGTATGTATGTATGTATGTATGTGTGTGTAATATTATTGAAATCATGAGGCCGGATCGATCATAGTTTTGTAGCTGGTTGTTAAAATGGGTAGTCAGCAGATTTAGATGTGTTATGAATAAATAAATACTGGTATTGTATATTTTTTTAGCGAATGCATATTGCATATATAATAATATACTATATAATTTGTGTCGATATGTTTGCCAAAAATTTCGTTAGTGTACATAATTATATTTTACCTTCATCCTTGTTCAGGAGTAGCATATTTGTTCTGGTTCGAAGAGTCTTACTTTTATTTGCACAGGCTTTTTTTACTGCTTCCTTTTTTTAAGTCGTACTGGATAACGCAATGTTGCTTTCATTTTTCACTTATTTTTATCTGAGCCATATAGGCTGGAAAAATCACATGTTCCCACGCATACCAGTACAGTTGTATCTGCATATGTGTGTGTGTCTGTGTGGAGGTGAGTAGTTTTGCTTCCTTGATGGGTTGCTGCACAAAGGAACTCACTCGAACACTCTTGACAAGATCAGGCAGAAATCATTATAATTAAAATGTGAGCTCTAGTTTGACACTAAATTTGCCTTTTTAATTTCACTAGAATTTGTTGTATTTTTTGTTTTTGCTTTCGAAGCTTTTGTTATGTTCCACAATTACTCGTAATTGACAAAATTTGCAATGTTTCATATTTTGTTTGTTTGTTTATTGCCTGATCGTCAACTTAATTTGGATGTCTTTTAGAGTTGATTGCCAGATTGAAGTCTGCATGGAGTTGTCTTATTATGCCGAATCGCACTTGAAAACTTTTTGTAGCGATTGGGGTTTTCTTGCAACCATTTTATTTATTTATTTTTGTTATATGTATTTTTTTAGATGAATTTTTTATTCCGTTTGCAGAGAAACTTACGTTGTGTTCTTGTCGCTTTCCGCGCTTTCAATGCCAGTGACAAGCGCACAAGAAAAGGCCTGAACAGATCTCTGTCGGCAGCCGACGTGACGTCGCAGCAGCAGAGGAGCAGCAAATAACGAACCAGACAAATGAACGGGACGGGTTGAGACGAGAAATGAACAAGTGTGGGTTGCTTGCAATGTATTGGCCGATGGGTCATGTGCAGGGGGCAGGGGCAAGGACGACATCAGTGTATGTTTGTGTGAGAGTGTGTGTGTGTATGTGTGTGTGTGTGTGTAGCTGACTCAATCACCACTCAGCCACATTGCGGGTAAGCGAGTCAAAGCGGAGCTCAAGTTCAAGGATGTTATGTAATAAAACGAAACGAACAGAACGTACGAAAGAGCCAGAGCACTGTCTTCTCGCTGAGTGTGTGTCTGTGTGCCTCTCTGCATGTGTGTGAGTGAGAATGCATATAAAGGCGACTCTTCTCTGCGTTGCTGCTTCTGCCTCTACCACTCACCAACACAAATGCAACTGAATTGCGCCATCGTAGTCGTGTGCACTTAGTTTGTGCATTCTACCATATATATATACATTGTACATATGTATGCATGCATATGTACTTATCTACGAGTATGTACATGATGTGCTATATATGTATGTATTTATGTATGTGTGGGTCATGTATTTTTACCTATAGTACTCGCAAATACACACATACATATGCCAAACTTAAATTCTCTACAACGAATCTAAGTACAGGGAATCAAAGCTTGGACTCACAACCACGATGTGCATTTTCCCTGGATACCCCTTTTTAAAACCATAACATCTTTGCACACAAATTTGGATTGCGGTCCGGACGAGGTGTACACGTGAACATCCTTTTAATGAATTTTTATACCCTGTACCCGTAGGGTAAAAGGGTATATTAGGTTTGTGCAAAGTATATAACATGCAGAAGGAAGCATCTCCGACCCCATAAAGTATATATATTCTGAATCAGCATGACGAGAGAAATCGATCTAGACATGTCCGTCCGTCTGTCCGTCTGGATGAACGCGAGGATCTCAGAAACTATAAAAGCTAGAATAACCAAAGTTGGCATCCAGATTCTCCTAGGTCCGAGTAAGGACGAGTTTATTTTTTTTTTTTAATTTTCCCCCCCTTCCCCCGCTACAGAATTTCGTCAATAGCGTCCACATTTCAAATGCTACCTCAACCAAACTTTGCACACATAATTTATATATATTTATCTACTGTTGTTTTATCCAATTCGGTCAATTCTGAGAAAAGTTATTAGCAAAACAAATTCTCTACAGTACAACCCCCACAAACTGCAGCAACAAGTTCGCTCTTCTTCTTCCTCTTTTTGCTGCTGCTATGGGCGCATATAACTCAGTGACGGAAGTTTACCTGGGTACAGGGTATTACACTGTCGGGCTTGCTCGACTGTAGCGTTCTCTCTTGTTTTAAATGAAGGTATATAACGCAGTCTCTCTTTTTTTACAGAACACTGCCGCGTATAATAAATGTTAAGCAGGCTTACACGTTTTTATAAAGAACACCACCATCACCGACGATCCGACAACGGTAGAACCACAATATCTACATTTTAGTAGTTTTAGATATTACTTATTTTAAAAGTCTATATATTCCTAATGGAGTCAACATTGTAGAACCTAATGCTTTTTACAAAAATCATTTATAAAACAAATGAGGTAAGGCATTCCATGGTACCATTACATCCAGTTAGTGCTTATGTACCATCATGTTATGTTTCGATATGATAATTCAAATGAAAAACAAGGTTCATATACAGATTTTCACTGTTATAATAGATCCAATAATACGCAAATAAAATAATACTCTAAATTTATAAATAAAATTATACTCTTGTATAATTATTTGTGAGTAGATAAAGGACAATTTTGCATTATTTTTTTTGCTCGAATTGGAAGATCCATAGGTAACAAGATTATAATAATACAGTCCCCAAATCCGAAGCGATGCAGACCAAATTTTCCACTTTTTTGAACTATTTGCTATAATGTATTAGTCATTATAAAACCAAACAGCTACATCAGCTAGTATTGTTCTTCATATTTGTGCTCTACAGTGGTGTGGGAAGTGTTTTTAAAACGCCTCCAAGCACAGGGATCGTGTGCCTCCGATATTCTACTCAATTAGGTATGGGGTATATCGAAATCTGGCCAGCTCGCCTGAAACATTTTCTCGCGCTAGAAACTGAAACTTAATTAAAAATAACGAAAACAAGATTTCCTCAGATCGAGGAAGACTAATATTATAATTTTGCATTAACCATTGTCTTTTCATATGAATACAATTAACTTATCTTCTGACCAACTTTGATAGCAATTTTGGTTAGGTATAGTGATGGAAGACTGTATTTGCATGCCTGTCCATTGCTTGGGTAGTTTTTTGGCCGAGTCGTTGCCTCTGCGTTCAATTTGGAGAAATGTGAATAATTAGCGCATTTATTGATAAACTACAGTACTTACATGGCGGTGGTGTACATACTTGTATGTATGTATGGACTTATTGACTTTTCCACACATGAACATATGTATGTGTACATACACACATATGAGTATGAGTATGTCATCAGACTTCTGCGATTTAGTACTGCCTTTTCCTGACCTATTTGCGTCTGCACTATCAGCATTCCCCATTCTTCAATTGTTGTGGGCCGTTTAATGCAATCGTTGCCTATTTTCGTTTTGTTCACTTCGCTTTTAATTTCCTAATTGAATTTGTTTGGTGTGGGTGTTGGTGTGTGCGTGTATATGCATGTATTGGTTACGTTTGTGTTTTACGCTCTTTGGCATGTTTGTTTAATTGTTTAATTTAATTAAATGCTATGCCTTGCAAACGTTTGCATATCCACAATATTGCCGTATATACATTGGCATATGTACATACTGATGCATGGTTGTATATACATACATATGTACATACATATATACATATGTAGGTGTGTACACATTTAAAGATAGCCGTCTAGTATGTGCAACAGATGTTATTGCATTCCCGTGTCTTTCATAATTTCCTTCCACCCATCAAGTCTCGCTGGCTTGTCGTCTACGTCTTCGTTTTCGTTCGTTTTCTTATATCATGCACTTTGCATGGTTATGTATGTATGTATTTTTTATCTTCATATGTACCATGCACCACCCACACTTAAACATCATACGCACACGTATGCATTACGTATACGTATTCCGAACAATCGAATTGCCCTTTGAAATTGCTAAACGTGTGCATACATACATACATATGCCAGCAAATAAGTTTAATTTACGAACACCTACATACATACTCTCAATGCAGCAGTAGCGCAGCAGCAGCGATTCATGTATGTATGTACATACAAACATACGTGTGTATGTATGGCAAAATATGTAAAAGGGCCAGGGAGGGATGAAAAGTGCAGCGAAACTACGATTGCGGGGATGGCGCATACAATTCATCAGCACTGTTGCCACAAAACCGCCCTTATACGTACGTACTACACGTTGCGCCCGCAGAACATTGCAAGAGTAGGTGACCTTGACAGTGAACTTAAAATACACGCTACAAGGATTGTTGTACATGTGTGTATGTGTGTTTATGTGCTTGCGAAACGTTTGGAATGAAACGGGGGCTTGTGGTGGGGACGCCGAAAACAACAAATGAGAGAGAACGAATGCTGACCAGGCACTTGGAGAGACATTCGCGCTCTCTGCATGCAGTTGTTGCTACACAACGAAAAAAGCTTTGTAGTACGTTGCAGTGGAAGCGAGGGTTTGGAGGGCGGAAGTTGTTGGTGGTGCTACTTCTGTCAGTGTATTGGTGCCTTATATGGCACTTAAATGGCGCATTTGGCGCGAACAAACTCTCACTATCGCTGCAGCCAGTTGCTCTGCCAATCTCTCTCACGTCGCTGTCGACTGCATGAATCATCATCGTCTTGCCTGGCAAACCAACATTTCTATTCTACTGTTGCTGCCGTTGTTGTTGTTGAAAAGCTGTGCCAGAAGTTTCGCTTTCATGTTCAGTGCAGCGCCGCCTCCGCCGCCTGCGCGCGCTCCCCATAGCCACTTATCACGTTTTATGCAACGACCAGAGCACAAAAACAAAAAAAAACCCGTACGTATGTATTTTTGTATGTTAGTGCGTTCATTTGCATTGATGCATACCTTTAGAGATGAACATACGTATGTACATACATAATATGTATGCAGTATGTGTGTATGAATGTTGTTGCTGCTCCTGGCCTGTCAATCATTTCGATTTCATTTCATTTCATTTGTTCATTTGAAAACATACTATATATGAATGTATGTATGCATGTAAACATGTTTGTATATGTATGTGTATGCATGCATGGACAATATTAGGTACATTACACAGCAGTGTGCATGCCCCTTTGACATTTAGCAGCATACATACCTATGTATGTGCGAATTTATAAATGTATGTATGTATGTGCTATATATTCTGTGTGTATCCAGCAGCTGAGTAGCTCGGCATTTTTTTTCGCATTTCAAACAGACGCCCAGTGAGCATATGTATGCATGTAAGTACGTAAATATTCTACAAAGTATGCACGTATGTTTCTAAATATGTACATATATATGTATGCATAAATCCAAGGGCGTACGCGACGTTGTCTTCTCCACACTCAGTCTATTGTTTGGGTTGAAAAAACTATTTAGAACACAAATTGAACTGAAAAAAGAACTATTTTCTTTAAAATGGCTATTGAAAAAGAAAATTTAAATAACAGCCCTATTCATATAGTTTTTATTGAAAGGATTATGTAGGTATGCAAAGAGTATACAGCTTCAGAATAAAAGCGGAAGTAGAGCTAGCCATATAAATACCCAAGAAATGCCTTTTCATTAAACATATAGGCATTTAAATGCACTGTACATATTTATACACTATGTACTTGTATAAATACATATGACCCTGTTAGTTGACTTTAACTTTTAAAATCTTTTTTTATTCATTAAAATATGTTTGATCGCCTTCAAAGTAATCCCCTCCGGATGAAATGCACGTACATGGTACGGTGGTTGTGGAACGATAAAGAAAGAGTGCAGAGGTGCAGTGTTTTTGGAACCAAACGAGTTTTTATACTCTGTACATGAAATGTTTACGTTTGCGGGAGCTGAAATATGTAACAGGCAGAAGACAAGTCGATCTAGCCCTGTCTGTCTGTCTGTCCGTTCGTATGAACACCTGGATCTCAGAGACTACAAGTATAAGAGATAGAGACACCAAATTTTGCACAAAGATGCCTTATGTGTGTATTCTATACGACTTTGTTTTATTTTTTTGATTTTCCCCCCCACTTCCCCCCTATGGGGGTTTTCCCGATTTTCCATTCGTATAACCGCCTATATCTCGGAGACTATAAGACCTAGGAACAGCAAATTTTAGTCCAAGATGCCTTACGTGAATACGCAGAAAATTTATATTTTGGAATTTCCCTCCCTCCCCCCTCTACCCCGCAAATCGTAACTCCCGTAATTCTTGGAATTTCGAACTAAAATAAAATTTTGGAAATACCCCCAGTTGGTTATTATGTGTCCGTATGCCAAGTTTCACTATGATACATAGTGCAATTCAAAAGTTCCAGAACTTTTATTAAAAAAAGAAAACTATTTTTTTTTTTTTTTTTAAACTTATTGGTCGCCTTCAAAATAGTCTCCTTCCGCCTGAATACAACGTTTTGCACGTTCAAGAAGGTGATCGAACGACTTTTTTAGGTCATTTGTCGGTATAGCGTTGAGGATGGCGGTCGCCGCCTGTGGGATGGCATCAACGTCAGCATAGCGGTTTCCTTTCATGGCCAAATGTAGTTTTCCGAAAAGGTAGAAGTCGCACGGTGCCATATCAGGTGAATACGGCGAGTGGTTAGTGTTTAAAATGTGATTTTTGGTCAAACAATCGGTTGATTTTTGAGCAATTTTTGGTCGTCAGTCAATTTGTGCGGAACAAACCGTGCACACACCTTTCGTAAGCCCAAATGTTCGGTCAAAATGCGATAAATCGATGTTTTGGAGATGTTCAATTCCATTTCCATCAATTTCAATGATGATTTCGGCTGATTTTTGATGAATTCACGCACTGTTTTGATAGCATTTTTGGTGATCACGAATTTTGATTGGCCCACATGTTGATCGTCATTTATGTCCTCACGACCACTTTGAAAACGTTGAAACCACTCGTGCACTCTGCTACGGGATAGGCAATCATCGCCATAAACTTGTTTCATCAATTTCGGTAAAAGTTTTACCAATTTTAAAACAAAATTTAATGTTGGCTCTTTTTTTCGAAGCTCATTTTTCTCACTGAACAATCGATAAAGATAGCAGATATAGTTTTTATTGAAAGGATTATGTAGGTATGCAAAGAGTATACAGCTTCAGAATAAAAGCGGAAGTAGAGCTAGCCATATAAATACCCAAGAAATGCCTTTTCATTAAACATATAGGCATTTAAATGCACTGTACATATTTATACACTATGTACTTGTATAAATACATATGACCCTGTTAGTTGACTTTAACTTTTAAAATCTTTTTTTATTCATTAAAATATGTTTGATCGCCTTCAAAGTAATCCCCTCCGGATGAAATGCACGTACATGGTACGGTGGTTGTGGAACGATAAAGAAAGAGTGCAGAGGTGCAGTGTTTTTGGAACCAAACGAGTTTTTATACTCTGTACATGAAATGTTTACGTTTGCGGGAGCTGAAATATGTAACAGGCAGAAGACAAGTCGATCTAGCCCTGTCTGTCTGTCTGTCCGTTCGTATGAACACCTGGATCTCAGAGACTACAAGTATAAGAGATAGAGACACCAAATTTTGCACAAAGATGCCTTATGTGTGTATTCTATACGACTTTGTTTTATTTTTTTGATTTTCCCCCCCACTTCCCCCCTATGGGGGTTTTCCCGATTTTCCATTCGTATAACCGCCTATATCTCGGAGACTATAAGACCTAGGAACAGCAAATTTTAGTCCAAGATGCCTTACGTGAATACGCAGAAAATTTATATTTTGGAATTTCCCTCCCTCCCCCCTCTACCCCGCAAATCGTAACTCCCGTAATTCTTGGAATTTCGAACTAAAATAAAATTTTGGAAATACCCCCAGTTGGTTATTATGTGTCCGTATGCCAAGTTTCACTATGATACATAGTGCAATTCAAAAGTTCCAGAACTTTTATTAAAAAAAGAAAACTATTTTTTTTTTTTTTTTTAAACTTATTGGTCGCCTTCAAAATAGTCTCCTTCCGCCTGAATACAACGTTTTGCACGTTCAAGAAGGTGATCGAACGACTTTTTTAGGTCATTTGTCGGTATAGCGTTGAGGATGGCGGTCGCCGCCTGTGGGATGGCATCAACGTCAGCATAGCGGTTTCCTTTCATGGCCAAATGTAGTTTTCCGAAAAGGTAGAAGTCGCACGGTGCCATATCAGGTGAATACGGCGAGTGGTTAGTGTTTAAAATGTGATTTTTGGTCAAACAATCGGTCACAATCGGTTGATTTTTGAGCAATTTTTGGTCGTCAGTCAATTTGTGCGGAACAAACCGTGCACACACCTTTCGTAAGCCCAAATGTTCGGTCAAAATGCGATAAATCGATG